AATGTTAGTTTTCTCTTACATTCGTGTTTTTTCTAAGCTTCGTACCGGAATCGATATGCTTCGCAGAATCTCCTGTCAGCTGATTTCGCCGTTTAAGTCCATCAAGACCCATCCTCTTTGTGTTCGACTGAACTCAACGACCTCATCCGACAGTTCCGGTTAGTTTCTCCTTTCTTGTATGTGATTGTGTGCAGCTACTGATCCATTGGTTGATAGATTAACCAAATTCGGAGCGTATGTGGCCGAGTGTCTGCCAAAATACGTCCAAAAAGTGCGGATAGGTCATGTGAAGGAACTGGAGATATGTATTCATCCGGATGGGATTGTTCCAGTGCTTTCCTTCTTGAAAAATCACCACAACGCGCAGTTTGTTAGTGTTGNACGCGCAGTTTGTTAGTGTTGCCGATATCACAGCGATGGACGTACCGACCAGACCGCATCGGTTTGAGGTAAATGTGGAACCAATTCATCATTGACCTAAAATGTTTGTCTACAGATTGTCTACAATCTTCTCTCACTTCGATACAACTCCAGAATACGTGTTTTGACTTATACGGACGAACTGACTCCAGTAGATTCGTCTTGCAGCGTTTTTCAAGCTTCCAATTGGTATGAGCGTGAGATTTGGGATATGTACGGTGTCTTTTTTGCCGATCATCCGGATTTGCGACGCATCCTCACGGACTACGGTTTCCAGGGACATCCGCAACGTAAGGATTTTCCATTGACCGGTTACACTGAGGTGGGTTTTCCAAACTGGTTTTCGTTCTCTACACGTTTTTCTCCATGTGTGCTTCATTGGTTGCTTTGAGCTTAACAANAACTTCTGATTGTGAAAATAATATTTGTTTAGCCAATAGTACTCTCACGTGACTTGCTGATTCATTGTTCTATCCAGATTGCTAACCGTTAGATAAGTAATGTGCAACGGTCCTAACAGTATTTGAAATTATATATATATATATAATAAAACCCCCATATTTTCACAAAATCCTACTGGCTGCACTATATTATTATGATATATTTTACACTAGCCTGAGTCCAGACTGTGTGCCAAACAAATCATGATACAATAATCTTGATAAAAAGAAAAACGTTCCATGATTGGCTTTTGGACTGAGTACTGCCATGTTGCCCAGGCTAAGGCAGGTGAATTTTTTCTTGAGGGATCCACAATCGGAGCCTTCGGCCAACCAAAGCCTGACCCGCAAGGCAGCGGGGCGGTATGTAAAAACCGCAACTCTTTGCGGGCCGGTGTGTGGTTCATCGGATCATACACCATTTAGATGGATTTAAACGTCCAAGGTGCCCGATACAGCTCGACGCCTAATCTAATCGGTGACCACTACCATCACCAGGAAGTTGTGGTTGAGTAAGGTTCATACACCTCTTCCGGGTTGGTTTGGAGTCGGTTTTTTTTAACCACGCCCCCTAGTTGAACTGCCAGTGGTTCACCGACCCGTTTATAGCCCCGGACGTTGACTTTTTGTCCTCTTTTTAGTAGGGGGAACCCCTCCACCAGGACAAGGTAATGATTAGAGCTTCCTCACCAGAGACTGTTTGAGAATATTAGTCGCATTTCGTGACTTGCAAGGGAGGGGTGACCAGTCGGAACTCGAAACATCCACCTCCGGCCATACTGAGGCTTTCGGAGGCACCGAAACCGATTTCGAGATTACGGCTCGTTTTCGTCGGAGTTCACCACACGGTATCCTTTAGGGTTTCTCTCTTTGTTTACTCCATTCTGTAACGGATAGGATTGTTGAAACAGTCCTGTTCTCGCGCTAGAATAGTAACATCGATATGCTGTCAGATCTGCCGTATGCAGACGAATTCGTACTGTTAAATGAAGATACAGATAAGCAAGCAGGTATTGATGGTAAAACCGAGACCTGGAGTGAAAACCCCGACCAGAGGGTTCGGTCATGAGAGTAAAGTTAGGCTCCATGATTGGGAATCTCGTCATCCGTGAAGTCAGTGGTTTCTTAAACTGAGTGATATGACTGAGTTTCGTAAACAGTTTCGTTCGTACAACTACTTAGTTCGGTTGTATCCGCTGGTTGTTGTCTCATTCAATAGCTGACCAATTAATGTAGCCCAGTTGAAACACTTAACGGTTTACAAAGTCACTATCTCTGTTTGCATAAGTGTTTAACTAGCATCAGAAGTTCGGATTGTGTAGCTGTTTTCCGGACGATCTTCCTAGTATTCATGACTTTTTCTGAATTGTCCATTCGTTAGTTTTTCAATTTTTTTTCGCTTCAAACAAGTATAGTGCGATGATTAGCTCCATCCACTGTCTAACTTTGCATGTGTGTCAAAGTTCAACCAGGACAACTAGATTGTTCCCTTGATATTTTGGTCCCGTCGTATCCACTCTAGATGATTACGGAAAATCGTGAAAGTTGATCAAACACATTAAATGCCATCTGATAAAACCCGACTCCATGTTCCATGAAAGCGAGGGATTGTTAGGGACTCGAAACCAAACGTTGGGAAAGAAGTACTTATAGGGACAATGTGCTGATCCGACACGGGTTGATAATGTAACAAACATTAGCACATTAGGTAGGTACATCGATCGATTAACGGTGGCCTAAAACCAGGTCGAGGTCGTTCATGAACAAAAAAAGCCCGGAACTGTATTGATCAATGTCTGTCATGGGCAACTGCATCACATGATTGGACATGAAATAGGAGCGGGGATAGTTGAATGCCTACGTGGCGTGACTCTTTATCCTAGATAACATGATACTCCATAACGATCAATTGGTGTAGGCGTACGCTCTGACCTACGTAATGCATACTCTGTAAGTAGAGCACTCTTGTCATTTGATATGGTGTTTGCGGAATTCGCCGGTGGATCGTTTTTAGATGGATGATCTTTGGTGTCGGAACGTTCAGTCGAACGTGGTCGGAGTGTCTGCAAGCTACTCGCCGAGAAACAACGGCGACGACGGATTACGCGACCCTGATACTACTTGGCACGTTCGTGGTACAATCGGAATCAAGTTCTATCAGACGGCATTTAATGCTTGCGATCAATTTTCACCATTTTCCGTTCCACGCTATTTGTCTGGTGTTCCTAATACCACACCGATGCACATTTAATGGTGTCTGATTGTGCGCTGTCAGTGAGCAACTTCACCTCGGATAAAAAGTCACTTCATTATGCACACGAGAGTCTGACAGAAGCAATTCCACAGAGATCATGACGTGGTTCATTCGTTTAATTAGCACGCAAGATTAAGCGCTAGAGATTGCAGGAATCCGGACGTTGCTGAAATGATGATCGTACATCGTTCCTTTCCAATGGGCGTCGCTGTCCGCTAATGTGCCCGAGGATTGATCGTGTTTACCGTATCGTCGGACCTGAAAAGGAAATCAACTCAAGCAGATTAATTAATTAATTAAGTAAAACTATTCGGCGTGTTTATCTCGAATACACAAAGCGGCAGATTTCATCGGGGACAACTGTTGGCTCGTGGAGGTTGATGAAGGGCGCATTTCGCAGACCTTATCGCGAAAGCGGTTCTTCCTAACACTGCCCTATGAATTGTGGTGAATCTGTCCCGATAAAACCTTTCACGTTTTGATAATTAAACTACCCAACAAACAAACGGTCTCAGAGGGTAAAAGAGACGTGTGAACAAAGTCAAAGTTTTATTAAGGGAATTACTTTTAAGTTTGTGCTTCTCTTGTCCCCATAGGATATTTACACAATTTAATCGTTTCACGGCGAAAAAGACATACAGTTCCACGTAGGAGAATTTAGGCTTCAATGAATTCGCGTTTGCTTTCATGGTGTAGGAATGTGAGGTGCACGAAGGTTTCATCAAATCTCCGCCTGAAGGATTCAATAATTGGTGCACAATCGATGTGAGATGGAAGAGTGTTCCAAGTACTGCATATTCTGACTGCAAAAGATTGGCACCCGCATTCCCGTCAACGCTTTGGAATCAATAACATAAAACGGTGTCCCCTAAGGAGTACATTGTTCGACAACGTGAACAGCGGCCGACATAGGTGATTTGGGTTTTGCAGGATTTGATACGTCAAAATCAAGCCTCCGAATTCGGCGGTGCTGAGCAGAATATAGTTCCATTAATCGTAATCTCTCCTCATAGGTGAGGCAGTGTAATCCCTTGATCATCTTGGTGACCATCCTTTGTGGGCTCTCAAGCATCTTACGATCACGTTGCAACCATGGGCTCCAAGCTTGGATGGCGTACTTTGTGTACGGTCGAATTTACACTGATAGCAAACGTGGGAACAGTGCGGATTCAAACCGACTGAAGATTCGCCCAAGTAGGCCGACATTCCTCACAGCAGCGGACGAAGCATTAGCGCAGTTGATTGAGCAGCTTAAATCCTCTTGAACAACAATACCTAAGTCTTTTTCACTTGGAGTATGTGGTAGCTGCTGATTTCCGAAGAAATACCAGTCTTCTCTTGTGGTGTAGGGATGGGACTTTAGAAACATTGAATTCAATGTCGTTCTCCTTAGACCATTGATAAGCTGCGTGAAGTGATTCTTGAAGTGTTAGAGAGCCCTCAGGTTCTGCTATTGTATTCCAGACTTTGTTGTCGTCTGCAAACAGTATTTTTTTGGACCTAGCGCTATCGGTAGATCATTTATGAATGCGAGAAACAGACGGGACCGAGTACGGACCGCTGTGGAACACCGCGGGTGGCATTGATAAATCCGGATATGGAATCAGAAACACGAACTGATATGGTCCGTTGTTGGGGGCATGCTCTAATCCAATCGGACACGAAGTCTCGAATGGCGTAATTGTAGAGCTTCTGTAACAAACTTCAGTTGACTGCACAATTTTGTGCCCGGGCTCCCACGATTGCCTACGACACTTTTGGTTTTAATGCTATGACACACAGGAAAGGCATGGCTGACGATTCTCGCCTGATCTTTGAACTTTCCGCGTCTGTCCCTCTCCAGCTTGTTCCATCTCGTGCATCCCGCGCACAAACGGCCAGCCACTCATTTCAAGTGACTAACTTTCAATAATCTGTTTTCCCAAAAACAGCACAACAGTGGAATACTGTCCCCCTTTCGGTCTTCCCTCCAGCGTACAACATCCTTCCCACGTACAGTATATCCTCAGATCATGCGGTTTACCGCTTTTACTATATTCACTTTCGTGTAATAAAAATATTCTTGTGCAATTGAACTGGGTTCAAGCATCTCCACCATCTGTAGTGATCACCCGTAATTTTCAACCGGGTATTGTATCTCTATTGTGAATAAGTATGTATGCTTTCGATCGCGCGCTGCTAACCAAAATCAAGATACCGCGTATGCTTGTACCAATCCAATCGAAAGACGTGTCTTTGTCATTCGTTTTCTGACCCCGTTGGTTTAAGGATGGCTCTCAAAATCATCCCACACCGGTGATTCAAATCGAAATACGTCCGGATGTGAATAAAACTATCGCATTTTTGAGTGAACTGAACCAGATACACGAATTTCCATATTGTACCGCATCAAATGCTAGTGATGACGGTCATCGTCAATTACTCGTGGAACGCCGATTTAGTCACATTCTCAAGCCTGTTTGTTTTCACCGTGCACCAAATCAATTTCCCCTTCCAGATGCGCTACGATGATGAGTACAAACGAGTGGTTATTGAACCGGTGGAACTGGCCCAAGAATTTCGTAAATTCGACTACAACAGTCCGTGGGAAACGTTCCCCGCGTTTCGTGATCCAAAAGCGGATGCGGATAAGGCGAAATTGTTGGACAGTGAAAAACCAAGTGAAGAACCACCAAAATTGAAAGAGAAATAAACCACAGTGTTTATCCGAGTTTCGTAGTGACCCCCCCTCCAATGCTCCCTGAATATTTGCAAATTAACTAGTGTATTTCATATCCCACGATTATTGTTCTTTTTTTATGCATCCTGGGACATCGTGATGCTTTCCTGGAGAGAAAAAAACAGTAAAAATCCCGTCCAGGTTTACAACAACTAAGCTATCTAGAAGTCAACTCGCGCTTTCAACCCGTCACTTCTGAACTAAATCGAAAAAAGAAACATCTCGATGGTTTTTACTCAGATTGGTATCTACTCTAAGTATTTATGCTCAGCTTAGTCTGAATGCGACATATACTATCATTTTTACCTAAATTTCAGTCAAATCCACACAACTTTACTGTCGCCTTGAAAAGAGACGTCATTGCTCGTCGTCAGAAACAGAGAACAAAACGAACTTAAACTAGCACAATCACCTCGTGGAATTGTTTTCAGTTTGTATGAAACTCGGTTGTCGAGATGCTGGTTGAATTTCGGCAAATATTTACGTAGGATGCTGCTGTCCGGGGAAAAACGGAATCTCATTGTAGATTAGGAACAACGGATCATTAGGTCCCACTTGTGATCCTCATCCGGTGTATCTCTCACAGTGGATTATTTGCTTATTGTAACGTTTCGATCCAAACTGGGAACGAGGCAATGGGATTACTGTCTTTCTGCGCCCGTGTGCTGTTTGTGCGTCTGTAGCCATGGTTACAGGGTTCACGAGGGTAACTTAATGTTTATCTATCTCGACGTATTGTTTGACGGAATGACCGAGTGTCGAGCTTCAGGAATTAGTCGTTGCCCCTTCTTCTCAGCTCGTGTTACCCCCTGTGTGCTATTGATCGCGATCTCGTGACCTGTCCGTACGCAACCGTTCCAGATTTCTGACCTCGGGACATGATACTAGGTGATACGACAAAACACTACTGGGCGGAATTTTCAGTTGCGGTTCAGTTTCACTTTTATCCAACGAATGTGTGCGTCAAATGGCAATGGGTGATCACAGCTCACAAGCCCGTCCACACACACCCTACTGCAGCGTTTGTTTGTTTGTAGTGGGGACGGCCGGCTGATTTGTGTTAACCTTTTGCTGCTCGTGAGAAATAAGTCAGTCGTAAAATGGGTTTGACGGACGATGACAAAACACACACACACGTGGTCCGACTGAACGTTTCGGGTCTGAGTTGTCCGGGCAACATGCGCACATCTCAGACGTCCTGGTCGTGACAGCGAAAGGCAGATCGGCTCAACTGCGAAGTGGATCGACAAATAGTGGAACAATGGTTTCGAGAAGAATTCGGTGATTTTAGGGTATTTAAGGCATAATGTGAAATTGCTTGTATCTGCAAACGTCCTGTTCAGTTCAGAGAAAAAACACGATGCCGCTTTCTGCCTACATGGCGGATGAACACTAAATAATCAGACCAATTAGACACAAGGCAGCTTAAGCGTTACCATGGAAATTCTCCTCTAGGCAAATGTTCCGCACATTTTTTCATGGTACCACAGCATAACTGATGTCTACACTAAAGTTCGCAAACCATCGTTCTGTGCATTCATGCTGCAAAATCTAGCTGTTCTTTTTAATATGTTCGTTCTACCATAGAAAATTTATACTTATTATTTGAAAAACTAAAAGAATCACCCACAATCAACTTTTCATAATTCGCGAATAAGCGGATAGGAGGACGTGAGTTGATTGACCTTTGAGGGAAAACAAACAAGTTTGAATGAAATTTTATCATTTGTTAGAAATGAAACATGCTTGTCATTTGGTCACTGCAATTCCGAACGTTCATTGGGGGGCCGTGACAAGTGTTCAAATCACCGTAGATCGCTCTCAACACATTTGTCGATTCGTATGAACATTCCTGGCTTCTTAAAGAGAGATGTTTTGCAATGCAGTTGTGATATTTGATTTCAGTTTGTTCAAGGAATGCAGCTGGCGAGTGTAAATAACAGACTTCGGTCAGTTCCACAAGTAAAAATCCAACGGGGTCAAATCTGACGATCTCGGTGGCCAGGGCACAGGTCCATATCTGCCGATCCATTTTTGTGAAACTGATTAGTCTAGCCAAGTTCTCACAATCCAAGTATAATGGGGAGCGGCACCATCCTGCTCTTTAATCTGGGTCCAGTGATTGAATATGCTGTGTGATGAGCGTTGAAAGCAGTTGTAGGTAAGCTGTCCCGTTAACTGTGGCATCAAGACTTAGCAATATCATGCAATGTTATGCGTCCGAAACCGAACAAGAATTTTTGTTTTCCCATTATCACGCGTGAATTCTTTTGTGCCCAGTAAACCTGATTTCTTTTGTGAGACTCTCCATGAAGGTAAAAAATGACCTCATCAGAACAGCTAACATCCTCAGTCAACGATGGCTATGCTGGCGAGACTTAAACCATTCGGCGAATATCATCCGTATCGACCAATCCGATTCCTTCATCTCTACCGAATGGAAACATTTGTATGAGTAAAAGGAAAGACGAAGCAACAACCCTCGTTGTATGATCGGATAACTGTGCCAAAGCTGTCGGGTTAATTTGCGAGTGGAGAGCTGACGGGTTAAAGATACACGTATTTTCACATTCTTTCTCACCTCCTCGATTGTCACCGGCTTTTCTTTAAACCATATATCCCACCCCTGGTCGATCCCGTTTGACGAAAACACTCCGCATTTTTTTCGTCGTCGAACCGATCTGCTTTTCTCCTTTTTTGGAATAAGACGTTTGCATTCTTCTCACGTGTCCCGAAAACACAGATCCGACGCGTTCAGCCAGACCAAGGCTGTGTGTGTTTGTCATTTTCTGTCAAGTCCATCTTGCAACGACTGACTTATTTTACACGAGCAACGAAAGGTTGACTGTGATGAGAGCTCAAATCCGGTCGCAGCTCGCTCGCATCGGGTGTCACGTGACTGGTCAGCCTCGTTATCGATCTAACCAAACAGTATTGACAGACCTAATAACTATTGGTCTGTATTTCACCAACTGACCCTGTGAATCGTTCTAACATAATTACAGTCAGTCTGTTTCAGTTCAGTGATCTTCCTAATCAGGGGCGTACAGTTATAAAAATCAGGCGACGGTGGAAAAATGGCTATTCTAGTGGAGTTTTTGCAGCAGCTATTAAAACAACAACAGCAGGAACAGTTTGAGATTTTGATTCAACGGCTCTCTGTGCAACAAAATTTAAATAGCTCAAATATTTCGACTGTCGAAACTCTGTTCCAAAGTATTAATGAATTGTATTATGATCCTAATATTGGTGTCACTTTTGAAGCATGATATCGCAGATATGAGAATATTCTGATGGCGCCTCATTTTGCGATACCGCTTGTGTTCGACTCGCAAATTGAGTCCGACAGAACACGTGCAATGCTGCAATTTTATCCTGCCCAAATATCCAAAGGAACTTGACTTGGAGGAAGCAGTCAAACACCTGAGTGCGATTTTTGTGAAAGATCATCTTTTTTCAATGTACGCTATCAAT